TATCTAAGAACGGTACAATGAGATACCAGAGTCTCTCAGGCAAAAACAGCATTAGCTTGTAGAACAATCCTTTGTGCTAAACCCTGTCAAAGGACTGAATTTGTGATCTTCGAAAGCACCCAGGACATTGTTAACTACTCTGTGCACTTGCTCGATATCACAATGGCGACTTGCATTCCGTACAACCCTTAGCAGACACGAGTGCAGCATATTCACCCGCATACGCATTGGACACTCTTGTTTCCCATCTTTGTTAAAGAGCTATGTCCCCCTTACACCCTCATCTTCCCGCCTAATATTACCTCCATTCTAAAAATTAAAAATACACAAATATCACCTTCAGATATAATATATAATATAGTTAAATATATAAGAATGTTAAAATAAAAAAATAAATAAATAAACACCGAGACCTTCACACACCTGAAAGTGCATATAGAATTAAGATTTAGATTTAAATTAATAACAGGAATTTTTTTTTTTTAGCGCGGAGTCTTATGGCCCACTTACCCGCCCAACAGACCGCGAGAAGATAGAAGCGAGATAAGAAAATATAGGTAAAGGTCCGGGGAAAAAAATAATAGTAAGATCAATCTTGTGCCAATAAAGCATGTATTACACGTTTTAGGAGCGGCAGAGAGTCAAGATTCGAGATTATAGGAAAAAGTCTATTATAGTCAGAACATAATACTCTGAAAGGCTCTAACAAGGCATAGTTAGATCCACAATTAGGGGAATATAATTACTAGTTAATCTACTTGGCACAGAAAAGTTTAGGCGACTTATCAAGTCGGGGCAGTCAATATCACCATGTATAAGGTTATAAATAAAGATAGTACCAAGCATCTTTCTACGGTTGGCTAGGGAGGGTAAATTAATCAACATAAGTCTACTAGAATAAGAAGGTAAGTTAAGATTTGCATCCCAGTTTAGGCGCCGTAAAGCAAAAAGAAGGAAGTTTTTTGTACAGATTCAATACGACCAATATGTATTCCGTCTCCTGACGGAAGACCCATACTCCAGAATCGGAAGGACTAGCGAAAAAATAAAGTTTTGGTCAAATAAGGATCATCAAATTCTTTTGACCACCTTTTAATAAATCCAAGCACTTCTCTGGTTTTAGAGAACGCCAAGATCGTTTACAAGAGTTATTCTATCCAAAGAGCTGTCACTTAACGTGTAAGTCGCATATATCGGATTGGCCCGATAAAAAGTCATCAGCTTGCACTTAGAATTAAAGTTTCGAGAGTTCATCCGAACTGAGCTTACTACGGTCTTACTGTCAATCAGCTGGGTTTGTTGACAAACAAAAAACAAAAGTTAAATTAAACGAAAATGTCGAGTTCAAAAAACACAAGCGTGATTTTGGTTGTCGGCATGGCGGCATGTATTGTAGCATTAGAGGAAGAGGACAAAGGACAGCGGCGGAAATATTGGGTGAGCCCATATCTGCAGGAAAGGGCCCTTAAAGGCCGATATGCTTCCGACGTAAGTAATACTGTTCAATAATGTATTAATATTCGTGCACTAAAAAATATTTTCTTATTATTTTAATGTTTCAAAACTTGTTGCAGACTCCCTCAATGTTTTTCGAAAACTTTCCTATGCCTCAGAAGAGTTTTAACACTCTTTTTGGAATGGTGGAGCAGTACCTTATACCGAAACGGAACACTCGCCCAGATGCTATACCAATAAAAGCCAAGTTGGCCATCGTTTTAGAGTAATTAGATTTTAAATATTTAGTCTTAGATAACAATATATTTATATTTTGTATCCCTTCATTTAGATTTCTTGCCTCTGGAGACCTGCAACGCCATATTGGATCAACTTATCGGATCAGTAAGCAACATTTTGGAGTGATTCTCCTCCAGGTGTCTATTGCCATTTCGACTGCTTTGCGGGATGAATTCCCCAAGTGGACGACGGGGAATATGCTGATGTGAGACTCGTCTATGGAGTAGTCCATTGCTTGGGCTCCGTCGCTCTCAGAAAACAAAGATTGGGTTGTTCTGTTAAAAATATATTATATTAAAATTGATTGGGTTGTTCTGTTAAAAATATATTATATTAGTATAATGTCACAAAATTTTTGGCCAGAACCTACTGCCTATGCGTGGATAAGACCGGCAGGAAGCCCATGTAGGGGGCGAAATCCCACTCTGCAGCACCTGTTGGCTTCTCCAGTGGGTCTCCTTCAGCACTTCCTCTCTTTGGTTGCTTGCACTTATGGTACTTATAACTGTCCCGCAGAGACTTCCACGCCAGCTTGCAACTATTATCTAAACATAAATATTGTATTTAAATATTTAATAATGTAAAATTATAACTTACCATCTTTGTCCATTTCCCAGGCTATTTCCTCCCACGATCTTTTTTATGAAAGTTGCATTAAAATGCTTTTTATTTGAAAGGTCCCACAATTCTGGGCGCGACTCCACGCATCGTATCAATGCAATTTTTTCCTCACTATTAAACTCCAGCAACCGACTTTTGCGGGTTTTCAGATTTTTTCCCTTCATTTTTTTAAATTCTCGATGAGAAGCGCACGCCAAAAGATTAAATTTTTTATTCTTTTTGCTAGGGTTCACCCAAAGTTCATTTCAGGTGGTTGGCAACGCGATTAAATTTTGTGGTATTTTTTTCATCGAACTGAGGACCTAGGTCAAAAAAAGCTTCACGAAGAGTGAACGCCAGCTGTTTGCCTCTCGCTCTCTCTCATGACTGGCGTACTGTTTTCGTCGATCTGGACCCAGATGGCTCCCTCCCACAAGGGATGTAACACGGAGAATTTTAGAAATTGAATTTTTAAAAAGCACCCTTTGTGACCTGCCATTCAGATACCTTGAGATCCATCTAAGAAGATCAACTGGAAAACCTACAAGTCAAGTTTTTGAACTAGAAGTAAATAATTTACAGAGTCAAATGCTTTACTAAAGTCAGTGTAAATGACGTCTGTTTGAAAATTACTATTGAAGCCCTTTATAACAAATGTAGTAAGCTCTAGAAGGTTTGTGATTGTGAATCTACGTTGAATAAATCCGTGTTGACACGGAGAAATGATTGATCTACAAAGGTGCTGCAAATGAGGAGTAAAGATTTTTCAAAAAGCTTAGGAATAGCTGACAACTTAGAAATACCTCTGTAGTTACTGGCTTCTAACTTATTACCTTTTTTTAAAGAGGAATAACAAAAGATTCCTTCCAAATATTTGGGAATTGGGAAGTTTCTAGAGATAGGGTAAACAAAACAATTTTTCATTTTCTTACATACATTTAAATTCCGTTCGCTTCATGCAGTGAACTATAAATCTTTGTGAACTTGTGTAATAACATTAAAAAATTGTTTTAATTTCGTAATTCTGTTCTGTGTTTTCTTTTCTTGTAACCTCGCCGTTTCTCTTTTGTGCGTTGACCGTCGAAAGTCGTAGTGCTGTTTTTAGTGTTGCTTTTGCATGCACTAATTTGCATAACTAATTTACGCTCCCGCTCTCTTTGCTTTGAAAGTTCTAAGCGTGCAGTTTCTGCGCTCTTGCGGTACTTATAACTGCTCGCTCATAAATTTCAATTCGGTTTCTTGGTACAGTGTGTTACGAACTGCTTTTTTGTTCTTTGGCAGTGCCGCTAGCTCAGTCTTCTCTCCGGGCGGATTCCCCCTAATGCCACAGCCCGCAACATAAACGTCGATGACTACACTGTCTCACATCACAAAATAATCGCTCATCACTAACAAACAAACAAACAAAATGTAAACACCGTAAAAAATTATAATTGACCTGAAAATGTTTTGGTGGCTATTGTTGACCCAGCCAAGCACGCCCACCCAACCAAGGATGCCCCGGACGTTTTTGCAGGGGCATCACCCATGTTCCAGTTGGTCTAAGTCACTCCTCGCGACTAGGACAGCTCCATCTCCCCCACAACGACAACTCACTCCCACATTTCAGTTGTTACATACATTTAATATCCACATCTTCCCGCCTAATATTACCTCCATTCTAAAAATTAAAAATACACAAATATCACCTTCAGATATAATATATAATATAGTTAAATATATAAGAATGTTAAAATAAAATAAATAAATAAATAAACACCGAGACCTTCACACACCTGAAAGTGCATATAGAATTAAGATTTAGATTTAAATTAATAACAGGAATTTTAATTAATATTAATAACCAAAAAAATCTAAAAAACCATTTTTTTTATTACATTTTTTTTTTTAGCGCGGAGTCTTATGGCCCACTTACCCGCCCAACAGACCGCGAGAAGATAGAAGCGAGATAAGAAAATATAGGTAAAGGTCCGGGGAAAAAAATAATAGTAAGATCAATCTTGTGCCAATAAAGCATGTATTACACGTTTTAGGAGCGGCAGAGAGTCAAGATTTGAGATTATAGGAAAAAGTCTATTATAGTCAGAACATAATACTCTGAAAGGCTCTAACAAGGCATAGTTAGATCCACAATTAGGGGAATATAATTACTAGTTAATCTACTTGGCACAGAAAAGTTTAGGCGACTTATCAAGTCGGGGCAGTCAATATCACCATGTATAAGGTTATAAATAAAGATAGTACCAAGCATCTTTCTACGGTTGGCTAGGGAGGGTAAATTAATCAACATAAGTCTACTAGAATAAGAAGGTAAGTTAAGATTTGCATCCCAGTTTAGGCGCCGTAAAGCAAAAAGAAGGAAGTTTTTTGTACAGATTCAATACGACCAATATGTATTCCGTCTCCTGACGGAAGACCCATACTCCAGAATCGGAAGGACTAGCGAAAAAAATAAAGTTTTGGTCAAATAAGGATCATCAAATTCTTTTGACCACCTTTTAATAAATCCAAGCACTTCTCTGGTTTTAGAGAACGCCAAGATCGTTTACAAGAGTTATTCTATCCAAAGAGCTGTCACTTAACGTGTAAGTCGCATATATCGGATTGGCCCGATAAAAAGTCATCAGCTTGCACTTAGAATTAAAGTTTCGAGAGTTCATCCGAACTGAGCTTACTACGGTCTTACTGTCAATCAGCTGGGTTTGTTGACAAACAAAAAACCAAAGTTAAATTAAACGAAAATGTCGAGTTCAAAAAACACAAGCGTGATTTTGGTTGTCGGCATGGTGGCATGTATTGTAGCATTGGAGGAGGAGGACAAAGGACAGCGGCGGAAATATTGGGTGAGCCCATATCTGCAGGAAAGGGCCCTTAAAGGCCGATATGCTTCCGACGTAAGTAATACTGTTCAATAATGTATTAATATTCGTGCACTAAAAAATATTTTCTTATTATTTTAATGTTTCAAAACTTGTTGCAGACTCCCTCAATGTTTTTCGAAAACTTTCCTATGCCTCAGAAGAGTTTTAACACTCTTTTTGGAATGGTGGAGCAGTACCTTATACCGAAACGGAACACTCGCCCAGATGCTATACCAATAAAAGCCAAGTTGGCCATCGTTTTAGAGTAATTAGATTTTAAATATTTAGTCTTAGATAACAATATATTTATATTTTGTATCCCTTCATTTAGATTTCTTGCCTCTGGAGACCTGCAACGCCATATTGGATCAACTTATCGGATCAGTAAGCAACATTTTGGAGTGATTCTCCTCCAGGTGTCTATTGCCATTTCGACTGCTTTGCGGGATGAATTCCCCAAGTGGACGACGGGGAATATGCTGATGTGAGACTCGTCTATGGAGTAGTCCATTGCTTGGGCTCCGTCGCTCTCAGAAAACAAAGATTGGGTTGTTCTGTTAAAAATATATTATATTAAAATTGATTGGGTTGTTCTGTTAAAAATATATTATATTAGTATATTGTCACAAAATTTTTGGCCAGAACCTACTGCCTCTGCGTGGATAAGACCGGCAGGAAGCCCATGTAGGGGGCGAAATCCCACTCTGCAGCACCTGTTGGCTTCTCCAGTGGGTCTCCTTCAGCACTTCCTCTCTTTGGTTGCTTGCACTTATGGTACTTATAACTGTCCCGCAGAGACTTCCACGCCAGCTTGCAACTATTATCTAAACATAAATATTGTATTTAAATATTTAATAATGTAAAATTATAACTTACCATCTTTGTCCATTTCCCAGGCTATTTCCTCCCACGATCTTTTTATGAAAGTTGCATTAAAATGCTTTTTATTTGAAAGGTCCCACAATTCTGGGCGCGACTCCACGCATCGTATCAATGCAATTTTTTCCTCACTATTAAACTCCAGCAACCGACTTTTGCGGGTTTTCAGATTTTTTCCCTTCATTTTTTTAAATTCTCGATGAGAAGCGCACGCCAAAAGATTAAATTTTTTATTCTTTTTGCTAGGGTTCACCCAAAGTTCATTTCAGGTGGTTGGCAACGCGATTAAATTTTGTGGTATTTTTTTCATCGAACTGAGGACCTAGGTCAAAAAAAAGCTTCACGAAGAGTGAACGCCAGCTGTTTGCCTCTCGCTCTCTCTCATGACTGGCGTACTGTTTTCGTCGATCTGGACCCAGATGGCTCCCTCCCACAAGGGATGTAACACGGAGAATTTTAGAAATTGAATTTTTAAAAAGCACCCTTTGTGACCTGCCATTCAGATACCTTGAGATCCATCTAAGAAGATCAACTGGAAAACCTACAAGTCAAGTTTTTGAACTAGAAGTAAATAATTTACAGAGTCAAATGCTTTACTAAAGTCAGTGTAAATGACGTCTGTTTGAAAATTACTATTGAAGCCCTTTATAACAAATGTAGTAAGCTCTAGAAGGTTTGTGATTGTGAATCTACGTTGAATAAATCCGTGTTGACACGGAGAAATGATTGATCTACAAAGGTGCTGCAAATGAGGAGTAAAGATTTTTTCAAAAAGCTTAGGAATAGCTGACAACTTAGAAATACCTCTGTAGTTACTGGCTTCTAACTTATTACCTTTTTTTAAAAGAGGAATAACAAAAGATTCCTTCCAAATATTTGGGAATTGGGAAGTTTCTAGAGATAGGGTAAACAAAACAATTTTTCATTTTCTTACATACATTTAAATTCCGTTCGCTTCGCGAGTGAACTATAAATCTTTGTGAACTTGTGTAATAACATTAAAAAATTGTTTTAATTTCGTAATTCTGTTCTGTGTTTTCTTTTCTTGTAACCTCGCCGTTTCTCTTTTGTGCGTTGACCGTCGAAAGTCGTAGTGCTGTTTTTAGTGTTGCTTTTGCATGCACTAATTTGCATAACTAATTTACGCTCCCGCTCTCTTTGCTTTGAAAGTTCTAAGCGTGCAGTTTCTGCGCTCTTGCGGTACTTATAACTGCTCGCTCATAAATTTCAATTCGGTTTCTTGGTACAGTGTGTTACGAACTGCTTTTTTGTTCTTTGGCAGTGCCGCTAGCTCAGTCTTCTCTCCGGGCGGATTCCCCCTAATGCCACAGCCCGCAACATAAACGTCGATGACTACACTGTCTCACATCACAAAATAATCGCTCATCACTAACAAACAAACAAACAAAATGTAAACACCGTAAAAAATTATAATTGACCTGAAAATGTTTTGGTGGCTATTGTTGACCCAGCCAAGCACGCCCACCCAACCAAGGATGCCCCGGACGTTTTTGCAGGGGCATCACCCATGTTCCAGTTGGTCTAAGTCACTCCTCGCGACTAGGACAGCTCCATCTCCCCCACAACGACAACTCACTCCCACATTTCAGTTGTTACATACATTTAATATCCACATCTTCCCGCCTAATATTACCTCCATTCTAAAAATTAAAAATACACAAATATCACCTTCAGATATAATATATAATATAGTTAAATATATAAGAATGTTAAAATAAAATAAATAAATAAATAAACACCGAGACCTTCACACACCTGAAAGTGCATATAGAATTAAGATTTAGATTTAAATTAATAACAGGAATTTTAATTAATATTAATAACCAAAAAAATCTAAAAAACCATTTTTTTTATTACATTTTTTTTTTAGCGCGGAGTCTTATGGCCCACTAACCCGCCCAACAGACCGCGAGAAGATAGAAGCGAGATAAGAAAATATAGGTAAAGGTCCGGGGAAAAAAATAATAGTAAGATCAATCTTGTGCCAATAAAGCATGTATTACACGTTTTAGGAGCGGCAGAGAGTCAAGATTTGAGATTATAGGAAAAAGTCTATTATAGTCAGAACATAATACTCTGAAAGGCTCTAACAAGGCATAGTTAGATCCACAATTAGGGGAATATAATTACTAGTTAATCTACTTGGCACAGAAAAGTTTAGGCGACTTATCAAGTCGGGGCAGTCAATATCACCATGTATAAGGTTATAAATAAAGATAGTACCAAGCATCTTTCTACGGTTGGCTAGGGAGGGTAAATTAATCAACATAAGTCTACTAGAATAAGAAGGTAAGTTAAGATTTGCATCCCAGTTTAGGCGCCGTAAAGCAAAAAGAAGGAAGTTTTTTGTACAGATTCAATACGACCAATATGTATTCCGTCTCCTGACGGAAGACCCATACTCCAGAATCGGAAGGACTAGCGAAAAAAATAAAGTTTTGGTCAAATAAGGATCATCAAATTCTTTTGACCACCTTTTAATAAATCCAAGCACTTCTCTGGTTTTAGAGAACGCCAAGATCGTTTACAAGAGTTATTCTATCCAAAGAGCTGTCACTTAACGTGTAAGTCGCATATATCGGATTCGCCCGATAAAAAGTCATCAGCTTGCACTTAGAATTAAAGTTTCGAGAGTTCATCCGAACTGAGCTTACTACGGTCTTACTGTCAATCAGCTGGGTTTGTTGACAAAGAAAAAACCAAAGTTAAATTAAACGAAAATGTCGAGTTCAAAAAACACAAGCGTGATTTTGGTTGTCGGCATGGTGGCATGTATTGTAGCATTGGAGGAAGAGGACAAAGGACAGCGGCGGAAATATTGGGTGAGCCCATATCTGCAGGAAAGGGCCCTTAAAGGCCGATATGCTTCCGACGTAAGTAATACTGTTCAATAATGTATTAATATTCGTGCACTAAAAAATATTTTCTTATTATTTTAATGTTTCAAAACTTATTGCAGACTCCCTCAATGTTTTTCGAAAACTTTCCTATGCCTCAGAAGAGTTTTAACACTCTTTTTGGAATGGTGGAGCAGTACCTTATACCGAAACGGAACACTCGCCCAGATGCTATACCAATAAAAGCCAAGTTGGCCATCGTTTTAGAGTAATTAGATTTTAAATATTTAGTCTTAGATAACAATATATTTATATTTTGTATCCCTTCATTTAGATTTCTTGCCTCTGGAGACCTGCAACGCCATATTGGATCAACTTATCGGATCAGTAAGCAACATTTTGGAGTGATTCTCCTCCAGGTGTCTATTGCCATTTTGACTGCTGTGCGGGATGAATTCCCCAAGTGGACGACGGGGAATATGCTGATGTGAGACTCGTCTATGGAGTAGTCCATTGCTTGGGCTCCGTCGCTCTCAGAAAACAAAGATTGGGTTGTTCTGTTAAAAATATATTATATTAAAATTGATTGGGTTGTTCTGTTAAAAATATATTATATTAGTATAATGTCACAAAATTTTTGGCCAGAACCTACTGCCTCTGCGTGGATAAGACCGGCAGGAAGCCCATGTAGGGGGCGAAATCCCACTCTGCAGCACCTGTTGGCTTCTCCAGTGGGTCTCCTTCAGCACTTCCTCTCTTTGGTTGCTTGCACTTATGGTACTTATAACTGTCCCGCTGAGACTTCCACGCCAGCTTGCAACTATTATCTAAACATAAATATTGTATTTAAATATTTAATAATGTACAATTATAATTTACCATCTTTGTCCATTTCCCAGGCTATTTCCTCCCACGATCTTTTTATGAAAGTTGCATTAAAATGCTTTTTATTTGAAAGGTCCCACAATTCTGGGCGCGACTCCACGCATCGTATCAATCCAATTTTTTCCTCACCAACTATTAAACTCCACAACCGACTTTTGCGGGTTTTCAGATTTTTTCCCTTCATTTTTTTAAATTCTCGATGAGAAGCGCACGCCAAAAGATTAAATTTTTTATTCTTTTTGCTAGGGTTCACCCAAAGTTCATTTCAGGTGGTTGGCAACGCGATTAAATTTTGTGGTATTTTTTTCGTCGAACTGAGGACCTAGGTCAAAAAAAAGCTTCACGAAAAGTGAACGCCAGCTGTTTGCCTCTCGCTCTCTCTCATGACTGGCGTACTGTTTTCGTCGATCTGGACCCAGATGGCTCCCTCCCACAAGGGATGTAACACGGAGAATTTTAGAAATTGAATTTTTAAAAAGCACCCTTTGTGACCTGCCATTCAGATACCTTGAGATCCATCTAAGAAGGTCAACTGGAAAACCTACAAGTCAAGTTTTTGAACTATAAGTAAATAATTTACAGAGTCAAATGCTTTACTAAGGTCAGTGTAAATGACGTCTGTTTGAAAATTACTATTGAAGCCCTTTATAACAAATGTAGTAAGCTCTAGAAGGTTTGTGATTGTGAATCTACGTTGAATAAATCCGTGTTGACACGGAGAAATGATTGATCTACAAAGGTGCTGCAAATGAGGAGTAAAGATTTTTTCAAAAAGCTTAGGAATAGGTGACAACTTAGAAATACCTCTGTAGTTACTGGCTTCTAACTTATTACCTTTTTTTAAAAGAGGAATAACAAAAGATTCCTTCCAAATATTTGGGAATTGGGAAGTTTCTAGAGATAGGGTAAACAAAACAATTTTTCATTTTCTTACGGTTAATTCAAACATACATTTAAATTCCGTTCGCTTCGCGAGTGAACTATAAATCTTTGTGAACTTGTGTAATAACATTAAAAAATTGTTTTAATTTCGTAATTCTGTTCTGTGTTTTCTTTTCTTGTAACCTCGCCGTTTCTCTTTTGTGCGTTGACCGTCGTAAGTCGTAGTGCTGTTTTTAGTGTTGCTTTTGCATGCACTAATTTGCATAACTAATTTACGCTCCCGCTCTCTTTGCTTTGAAAGTTCTAAGCGTGCAGTTTCTGCGCTCTTGCGGTACTTATAACTGCTCGCTCATAAATTTCAATTCGGTTTCTTGGTACAGTGTGTTACGAACTGCTTTTTTGTTCTTTGGCAGTGCCGCTAGCTCAGTCTTCTCTCCGGGCGGATTCCCCCTAATGCCACAGCCCGCAACATAAACGTCGATGACTACACTGTCTCACATCACAAAATAATCGCTCATCACTAACAAACAAACAAACAAAATGTAAACACCGTAAAAAATTATAATTGACCTGAAAATGGTTGAAAGCGATTTTCCAGTTCGTCAGCAAAAGCCAGAGAAATTTCGGAATCCGATCTGCACCAAGTGTTGTCAGTTCGCTTAATAGGTATTCTGCGAGGGGGCTGCCTTTTTATAACTCTTGCTGCTTTCCAGATGCTAAATCCATATGGTTTTGTAGGATCAGCATTACGTAGCAGATCAGCGAAGTAGTCATTTTTTGTTTTGTGCAACAACTTTTTGACATCGCCCTCAGCGCGACGATATGCCCTTTTGTCGGCTGGATCCCTCGACCGCATGAATCTGCGACGCAATAAGCTTGCTGCCCACATTCTCTAAAATATTTGAGAGAATATTTCTTAGCAGAATGATGGCAGTAAGAAGGGTTCAGGATGCAATTCCAGACCACCAGTTCGGCTTCAGGAATCACCATGGAACCCCGGAGCAAGTGCACCGAGTTACTCAACATATTTTGGATGCCTTCGAGAATAGACAGTACAGCTCTGCTATCTTCTTGGACGTAAAAGAAGCTTTCGATAGAGTGTGGCACGATGGCTTGCTATTTAAGCTGAAGACTCTCTTGCCAACTGCGCAGTATCTCCTTCTTAAAACATATCTGCTGGATAGAAGCTTTATGGTTGAAGTGAGAGGCGAAAGATCACCTATCCGATGCATACGAGCTGGCGTACCACAAGGTAGTGTTTTGGGTCCTGTGCTGTACACCCTTTACACCTCTGACTTGCCAAATCCTAGAGACCCGGGTACCCTCTTGGCAACGTATGCTGACGACACAGCCTTCATCGCAAAGTCTCCGTGTCGAATCGAGGCGTCCAGAATTACCCAGAGCTTCTTGGACCTGTACAGCGAGTGGACGAGCAGGTGGAATATAAGTATAAACGGAAATAAGTCGCAACATTGCAACTTCTCCTTAAGGCATCAAACCCTCCCTAGGGTTAAATTCCAAGACACGCTCATCCCACAATCCCCTCAGGCGCAATATCTTGGATTGATCCTCGACAAGCGGCTCACATGAAGGCAACACACCGTCAAAATAGCAGCAACATGCCGTAGTAAGCTTAGGAAGCTTAATTGGATGCTTAGAGCAGCGAGTCATCTGAGCCTCAGAAATAAAATTCTGATCTACAAGGCAATAGTAGTCCCTTCCATGACGTATTGCATGCGACTCAAACATCATGCGAGTACAACGGCTGCAAAACCGAGCACTGCGAACCATTGTAAATGCGCCGTGGTATGTGAGAAATGACGACATAACAAAAGACCTTCACATCCCCACCGTGCGGGAACAAATCAATCGTCACTCAAGTCGCTACAATGCACGGATTCGAGCCCACTCGAACCACCTAGCTGCAGCATTGGCAACCCCTATGATTAGAAGAAGGCTAAAGAGAAGGCATCAAGCAGACCTATGGATAGGAGGGCGGCATAGAACGAGAGTCCTTCCCCAATAAATAAAATATTATCGTGATCGTCACCAAAATCTCCAATTATTTTTAAAGTCAAAAACATATTGATATTTATCGCTGCTGTTATGTTTTTCCATTTTATGTTTGTTAGTCTTTCTAGTCCCTACGTTTTATAGCCATTTAATTGGCTGATTAACGTATAAATAAAATATATGTTATATTAAAAAAAAAAAAAAAAAAGACCTGAAAATGTTTTGGTGGCTATTGTTGACCCAGCCAAGCACGCCCACCCAACCAAGGATGCCCCGGACGTTTTTGCAGGGGCATCACCCATGTTCCAGTTGGTCTAAGTCACTCCTCGCGACTAGGACAGCTCCGTCTCCCCCACAACGACAACTCACTCCCACATTTCAGTTGTTACATACATTTAATATCCACAGTAAGTACCTATGATAAACATTGCTATAATGGCTCTCCTATAATAAATGCAATACAAGTAATTACAGAGGCAAATTGTCCGCCATCCCAAAGCTTTTCGAAAACACTACTTCACCATATTTGCAACATCTTTGTAGATCGATTATATCTCCATGTCAACATGGATTTATAAGGCGAAGATCTACGACGACAAACCTCTTGGAGCTAACGTCTTTTGTAATAAATGGCTTTAAAAGAACATGCAGACTGACGTAGTTTACACTGATTTTAGTAAAGCGTTTGATTCAGTAAATCACTCGCTTCTTGTATTAAAGCTAGACTTATTAGGGTTTCCATGTGATCTTCTAACATGGATCTCAAGTTATCTGAGTGGTATGACTCAACGAGTCCTCTTTGAAAACTCGATCTCTGATTTGATCCGAGTTACTTCAGGCGTCCCACAAGGAAGCCACCTTGGCCCACTTCTTTTTACTTTATTTATAAACGATCTCCCTCTAGTCTTGACAAAGTCGCGTGTCCTTATGTACGCAGATGACGTTAAGTTATGCCTGCAATATAACAAAATTTCTAGCAGTTCGGACCAACAATCTGACCTAAATGCTTTTCAAACATGGTGTTGTGAAAATCTTTTGGATTTAAATAGCGCTAAGTGCAAAGTAATGACATTTTTTCGGGTGAACCCACAATATGCAATGTATACGCTGGGTGGTTGCGCGTTGTCTAGAATTACGCATGTTGATGACCTTGGCGTCCTTCTTGACCCAAAACTTAAGTTTTGTGACCATATTACTTCTATGGTGAATGAAGCCAGGGGAGTAATTGGATTTATTAAAAGGTGGTCAAGGAATTCGATGATCCCTATGTTACAAAGACTCTGTTCATTTCACTAGTCCGTCCAATCCTGGAGTACTGTTCAGCAGTTTGGAGTCCTCAGTATGGTGTTATGTACACCAGACCGGATAGTGTCTGTGCAAAACAACTTTTTATTATTTGCTCTACGGGGCCTTAACTGGAATGCAAGCCTTATTTTACCATCCTACTCTAGTAGACTTCTCCTAATTAATCTACCATACTTAGTAAACCGTAGAACGATCCTTGGCACAACTTTTATCTATAAACTTATTGACGGGGATGTGGAGAGTCCCGAGTTACTGGGTCGCATAAGCTTCTCCGGGCCTAATAGAATTACCAGGAACTATGTTCCTCTTACATTCAATATTTGTAGATATGCATTTGATATGCATGAACCGTTTAGAGTACTGTGTAACGACTACAATAGACTATACCATATTATTTCTACTACCGACTCTTTGCCAAGCCTAAAAGCATTAATTTTATTTTACTTGGCAGAAAATTAGTATTAGTATTTTTTTTTTTTTTTTTTTTTTTCGCGCGGAGTCCCACGGCCCACTTACCCGCCCAACCGACCGAGGGGCGCAGCCGTGTATCGTACGGCACGATTCGCGATAGGATAGACGCGAGATAGGAAAATAAAGGTAAAGGGCCGGGGAAAAAAAGTAATAGTTAGATCAATCTTGTGCCAATGAAGCAAGTATTAATCGTTTTAGGAGCGGCAGAGAGTCAAGATTTGATATTACAGGAAAAAGTCTGT